TTAATCCGTATATAAATTCTATCTCGATCGCTTAAACGAATTCTAAGATTTCTTTTCATCTTGAACTGAAAAAATGGATTTAAACCGAATTGAATCACTTTAAATTTTCCTAAGTAGGTCGAATATACGATAATCGTTTCTTGTCGATTTCACAAAACTATCACATGAGAAACATTGTATTTTTAGCAAGCAAACTCGATATAACTTTTTCACGATATATTCGTATTTAAAAAAAAACGAAGGAAGCGGTGTTACACCACTTGGTATTCATAAAATGATAGTTTAAGATTGAAAATAGCAATGCCTATAATCACTTCTCTCTTCTATCGAGAAAGATTTCATTTACAGTGCCTGCGTTTTACAGTCCTCAACATGCGATTTAATTGCATCATTTTCTAGATTTTCTTCTATAACGACTATCACACTCGAAAAGCGACTCCGCAGAGTAAAAACGTTTTATTAGCGATACAAAAGGTAAATCAGGCTTTAATTGCGAGACGATGCGAGGCTAAAACGTTCGGCTGCGGAAATGAACTCGTTTCACTGTACCAATTCCTCTTATCGCGCGAGATACCGCAAAGTGTCTGTGCGATAAATCCATCCGCGAATTGTACGGAGAACCGTACAAACAATTCAAAAGATATTTCACGCTGAATTTGACTTTATCTTAAATTCTTGCTAACGTTTGGAAATTTACCGTGTTGAGATGCGCGAACAATGACCGTTCATAAACGCTCTTATCTTCCGTAATATCGGTTGTGCAATTTTACGACCGCAACTCGTACGAGCCGTGCACTTATCCTTTCCAGTTCTTATCGCGGTGATGTATCATCGCAGATACGTTTACTTCCGAAAGAATCTCGAGCGAAATCCATTCGAGTTCGAAGATGCCCGACGTAGCTCTTTTCCGAAACATTTTTCACGCACGTCGATGGTAAGACTCTTGCACGCGCGATAATAGCAGCCGAAGCACAGCCGGAATGAAGTTTACAGCGACGAGAACAGATTTCGGAGAAATGCGTATCTCGCGCGGAAGTTGCCCCGCCGACTCAGGGTCGGTCGAAGTTTCTACGACTGGATAAGGGTGGGTGCCGCTGTACCGGAGCTAGTTGAGCAAGTAGATAAGTTTCGATCCCTCAGCGAGCCACCTTGCTCCCACCGCCATCACTCGCCTTACCGCTTCGTCGTAGATAAACGTATCCCGGAATATCGGGTTGAAGAAAAGGGGAAAGGGGGAGGGGGGCCTACAGCCGCCTTCTCGCGTCGCTGCCAAGTTCGACTGACATGACGTGGACTGGTCTTAAACTCATCTGAGAGAAATCCTCGCGGATTATAAGAGTCCGTTTTCGTACCTCTTCTTCTACGAAGAGGAACGACGGATGATTCGAATGAACGACGGGGTATTCGTCGTAAGGCAAGCGCAAACTTACTCTCGCTGGATTTGTACTGCAACTTCATTTTATGGTATGTCGGAGAGCATTCGCGGAAGTTAGTTCGTGTATGTGAGCAACGACACTTACGCGAGCGGTGTCAGAGAAATATGAAAATTACAAAAGCATTTATGAAATATTCTTATTTACTGTGGTATATTCACTTGAATGAACGTGTCATGGAATATTTGAATTTCGTCGAAGAAAAATGTATTTGGATGTTCGTCGACTTTATTTTATTTTAACTACAGTTTTAATTGTACACCTAGTTTTTCTTCAATTTCTAGATAATAAGTTTCTAAAAATATATTGAATATATTCAAAGAGAGAAAAATATCAAAATAATTAAATTTTATATTAGAGAACATTAATTAGAGAACTATATTAATAGATTCTTAATATAATACTCACTTTATTCATTCGGAAAGAAAGAATAACAAGCTAACGGATATATATTTTTTAAAATTATTATTTTAATCCCCCCTCCTCGCGAATAATCACCTGGAGTATTTTTATCCCAGCGACAAAAAAATGTGAATTGTAAAATATCGTTTTACGATGTCGATATTGTTCAATATATTTTTTCTTCCGTAATAACCATTCTTTACAAACCTTTAAATATGCAATTCTATCGAAAATTCGCAATAAAAAAGCGTCATGTTAAAATTTTAATTTTTTTTTTTTTTAAATATTGTTATAAGCTATTCGACACGTTTTTTCCATTTACTATTTCTTTGATTTCTACTTACGTTTTTTAAAAAATTGCGAGTAAATCTATATCCATAATATTCTCAAATACTAATAATTTGAATAAAGCGGCATTAATTAATATGACAATTCGACAGAACAGAGCCATTTGACAGGTTTATAGTATAGAAAAAATACATTGTCTCTCATGAATAAAACGCGGTTTAGACATCCGCGTGAAACAGAACATTCGCTTTGCTCTTATCGTCCAGCGAGATGATAATTTCTCGAGAGTTAATTCCTCTTCCGCTTCCGCTTGGGGAGTCGAAGGGAGTCGCGTTGACACTTAGCTCCGGCGAGGACAAAGGTCCAATTCTTGGCCCCTACGGTATCCTGGACGCGACAATGGGAGCGAACTCTCGGCGAAAAATACCCGGGGCTAAGGACAGACGGGATATTTCCCGACGAGGCGTTGATACGCCGAAGGGAATCGAGACGGGTGTGCGCGGTATGAGGATTGCCAGGGGTAAAAAGAGGGGGAGGGAAGAATCTGCGGAAAGCGGGGATGCAACGAGGCTGCAAGTCAGGCGAGAATCTAATTTCCCGAGACAAATCCTTAAATGTGCCCCGGAGCCTGGCTGGAAGAGGCGCGAGCCGAGGCATCTCACGGAATGAGCTCTCGTCTAGCATCCGCGACAACGACCTTTAACTCGGCTCGCCAATTTTGCGTCTCCATAACCCTCTCGCGAAACGCGTCATTAAGCTCATTCACGCGGGAAATGCGGTAGATCGAAAACAGAGCGTCGCAATCCGGGATGCAATCGCGATCTAACCGGAAAAACATAAACTCTCTCTCCCCCCCCCTCGCCCCGGTGTTTTTTCCTCGAACGAGATTGCCCGACGCATCGCATAAAAACAGCGTTCTCTTAATTAATTTATCGACGGTAAAGACAACGGAACGAAACCTTTTAGAAAAATCTGCAATAAATTCGCATTCATGAATTTTGATATCGACTCCTACGAAAGATTTTCTCAATTAGTTACAATCGAACGTATTGAGGTGTTTACGGAAATTATTCCAATTTCATTATCGTAAATAGCATAATATTTCAAATCTTGTTACCGATATTATTGATATTTCGTGATAGTTTAATTCCTGCGATTATTAATCTGATTGTATTATATCCACGACTAATATTATATTATGAAAATTAGGTTGCTATAATTATATAATATCTAATTGCAATGTTAAAATCAAAAATATACCCACACACTTGATATTTAACAATAATCAAACGGAATATACATTTTAAATGGGACTTAATCGTTGCTGCGCAAATGAATTCAGTGAAGTAACCTGAAAATCGATAAGTAATGATCGATTATATAAAATAAATTTATAAGGGAAATAGAGTTTTCGCTCAACGCAGCGATAAGCATCGATCTTTTTTTTTTTTAAACAATTAAATATTCTTGTTACTGATGATAATTTTTTTTTTTTTCTACAACGCGATAGGTCGTATCGTATTCATCACGCAGAAGATCCGATCGAAAGAAATGTCCTGTACGGTACGAGTATACGAAAGAAAACGCATGGGTACGATTCGCAGTTGGGCGAGACTAAGATCAAATTGAATCTTGCGAGGATTCATATAGACGACGAATGGTGTATTTTTTTTAGGTCCAATGCCATTTCTTTGTTTCTGTTCTGTATTCCAGAGTGCATGATGGACGACGGGAGCGCCTGTGCCATCTTCTGGAAGTAGGAAGCACCGGTTTCGGCCGCTGAAGGTAACTTCGACTTCCAGGAGATAGCTAGCTTCCTTCCAGTACCTCTATTCTTCTTCTCCGCAAATTGGCAGAAAGAGAACTTCCCCCCTCGATGAAATGAGAACAAAATGAATAAGGAAAAAGAAACGGGTCCAACCACCCCCAGCCCCTCATTCTTTCCCGCCAACATCACGCCAACACCGCTGATTCAGCCAGCACAGCCCGCCGCAAAGTTCATTTTGCTGCTCGCTAGTGTTTGAACCACCAAAACTCCAGCATTCCCTCACGAACCACTATCCCTTAGCCCGACTTAGTGCAGCCGGTACACATATCTATCCGTTGAGAAGGCTAAATTTGCACAAAGTGCTCGTCCAAATTCTTTCGCGAAAAAAAAAGAAAGAAAGAAAGATCTCAAATTTCTCGAAGCTTTTGACACACGCGCGACACTCATTAGGACTCTCGCGTACATTCAGGATTATATCCGTAAATTGGTTCTGGATTGGCACAAACAATTGGTTAAAAGTTGAAAAAGTTCAATTTCCCCAAATACATTGATTTTCGAAAATCAAAGTATCTCTACGCTGATAAAATTGCCGAATTGCTCCAGAGCTGTTCGAATTCAATCGTAATAACTCGCGCACACGTTCTTCCGGTAAATGCGCCGCACTGCTTATCCGCGCGATGAAAACGCTGTTGGGCTCCTCTGTGCCAGTCTCGCCATCCCCTTCTTATCCGTTTCTCATCCGGCACGATACGCATCATTTTACGCATTACAGAAGGTATTATAGACAGTGTTGTGCGTACCCACATGCGTGACTGAAACCTGTAGCCGTAAACCTGTCGTTCGTATTTTTTTGCTCTGTTTATTACGCACCGCCGTTACACACTATTTGAAGCCTCGTTACGACGAGGCGTGCGTGGCGTGGACGCTCTTAGAATTCAGACCGGCACAATGAACCGTGTGAGTGATGCAGAATATATGAGAGAATCGCGGTCTTAGAGCGTCTACCGACCGTACGATAGCAACGACCCTTTGCTCCGAGTACCGAGTTTATTATTGTACGTTTCTAAGTCCACAAGTCCCGACGTCTTACATTCCCGAATCTTACACCCCCTATCTAATCTCATATCCATATTCGTATGGACAAAACCATCTTTTGATCGTACATATTATATATATATATAAAATTATCTTATATATATATATACATATATATCGCTCTTTACAGCTATGATCATATAATAGTGGCTCGCTCGTTGGATGTGTTGTCTCGTTCGTTGTCAATGTGTTTTTTATCACCTCTGTACATATTTTCTGATTATGATATAATATATGTGAGCTACATTTATCTTATTGTATTATCTAGATTTGACATTTCTATATATAACAATATAACATCCCTATTTTCTCAACAGTCGATTGAACCGTTCTTCCACCTGCCGCATTCCATTCCCAGTTCAATTGGAACTATTTCCTGTGTTATCCTACTAATTGTGAATCTCGCACAGCCATAATCGTATTTTACTATTTGATATTACGAGGATACACACACACACACACACACACACACACACACACACGACGAATTAATACACATTCAGTGCAGATATTTCTAAACAAACTGTCGCTAATTTATCAAAATTTCATTCGTAACTGCTACAATAATTTTAGGATAAATCTAGCTTACACAAAGTCGAAAATACTTTTAAAAGCGAAATCGATCAAAATCTTTTTTGCCGAACAGTTTCAAGTACGCTGCATCCACCTTAAAAATGAGCTAAACGGAAATCGAAATGATCTTTATATTGAAATGATAATCTTGAAAAATGATAATCTCGAAATCGGAAATTCTCGAATATCATCAGATAAAATCATATTCTTTTCATTAAACATGAAACGCCTCATATGACCCGTTCTTCTTCATTCAACTTTTCGCGCGCAACTTAGAAATAGCTGCAGAATATAATAAGTATTCGTTGTTAAACTTTGTGTAACGGTGATCCATCTCGAGAATACATTACGTTTTCCGCCTGCTAAACAGCTAAACGGTAGTTTAGCGGAATTGCTTCTACAGTTGTGAAAACAATTGGAAAAACTCGACACGGATCACCGTCGGGGAGTGTCAGCTATAATTGGATCGCTTAACATCCTACCTGATTTTATCGCGATTCCGTTTGTCGTTTGTCGTTCGTTTTCGATTTTTCATATACTTTTATATTGTAATACCAAATGTAGATCAACATTGATTTTGAATTATTTCCCTTCTCTTTGTTATATTACGATTTCCGTTCCCATTAAAGTACCGTTTTCCACTGTTACAACACTGTATGTTACATTATTATCGGTTATGATAATTGTGGTTCCCGTGGTTGTGTTCTCGGTTTACTATTGTCGCACAGAAGACACACATAAAACCCACACAACCCACACACGTACACTTGCGCGATTTCCAGTGCTATTAGATGTACACGTTGACGTAATAACCGAGTGTAACCGTGCGCGTTTAAGGTACCGTACGTGTGCACATCAGATCTGTTACGTTTTTATATATATATATATATAATATATATATATATATATATTATATATATATCTATATATATCCCTATATCTCCCTCCCTTTAGGATGGTGGATGCTGGTGTAACCGTGTAACTTTGTCGTTCTCGGTGTTAGCCGCAAGATCTTCTCTTTAACGCCTATATAAACGCTTGGCTCACACGCAGAACTGACTAACGTTGTTCTTTCTTTTTTTTCTCTGTTCCCTCTATTTCGCAACGTGCCGTCATCGACCCGCAGACAGAAAGCTGTTCGTTGGTATGTTAAGCAAGCAACAAACTGAAGACGATGTGCGACAGCTGTTTACTACCTTCGGTTCAATAGAGGAGTGCACCATCCTCCGTGGACCCGACGGAAGCAGCAGAGGTGAGTGCTCATTGTCAGCTGTTTACACAATATATTTGCATAATAACTGTTGCATGATGTTAGTAATCAAATTAGTTTGCGTATACAAACAAGGTACAATCAATTTTCTCAACCCATCTCCGAAATAAACGTCTCCTCGAGAAAATTACGATTCAAGTATACACCCGCTTGCTTCAATTTCGCATTTGACGCAGAAAAATTCGTAAAAACATACGTAAGAATCGCAGATATCGCGACCGACGATTCACTATCGCTAAAAAGTTCGAAGATCGCCGATAAAGGAATTTAAAAATAGCTTCGGTGCTTCAGTCCCTGTGGGATTAAGCACGAAAACCGTATTCTCTCTAGAACTAAGTGTACCGTAACGCGGTGCGCGTATATTTTTATGTCCTGGGATAAAAGCATAGGCACATTGTCCATAAAAATACGGGTGTCTGTGCAATTTTTAGCCGCAGGGCGGGATATTCGCGTCCCTCTTTACTGCACGATCGTTTTACGTCTTCGCCGCGCATCACCTCTTTCACTCGATTCGTACAGTTTTGATCTTTAAAAGATCATCGAACGTAATCATTTGTGAAGCAAAAGCTTACGTAGCTTCAACGCTGTTGTTTCATCTTGTTAACTTCATGACACATAGAATGCAATAAATGCTCATTGTATTTAGTTTCTATTAATTGCAACTAGAAAATTACAGATTTATTCGAATAAAGTTTAATTTGAATTGAAAAAAATTCAGTTTTTCTAATTTTAAAGATCTCTCGTACACTTTTTAATCGTGTAAAAGAAAAAAAAGTGACATTTTGTTAAAGAAAAATTTCTTTTAAAATGGTCGAGAAAAATAAAAAGGAGGTTGTGTGTGGTAACCTTGGACACTTTGTACATCATCATTTGAGAGAACCGTGAAGCTCATAATCCGCGGCGCCTTTAGGCATTTTCATCGAACGATGAAGCGACAAAGAGACTCTTCTCTCCGGGGCACTTGCTTTTCAGAGGGGGTGGGGACGAACGGACTCCGCGAAATTAATCACGAGATGAGGCAGCAAAAAGGGAAGGAGGGCGACTATTTCAAAGGAAAGAAGGCAATTGCCTCGACCAAGTATTACGAGAAGGAAAAAAGAGAGAGAGAGAGAGAGAGAGAGAGAGACTCACCGCCCGACGATGATGCACGACTAAGCCGAGGCGGAAGGATATAATCGCGACGGCATTTGAATATTTGCTCGCGCTGTAAACAGCGCGAAAAAGGATAGATAAGGCGGCAAGGGGATGAATGTAATTCGGGCGGGGATAACTGACGGAATGGCGGACGAAAAGTGGGCGCGGAGCTGCAGTCGGACGAAGCGGCGGGAGCAATAATTTCCGCTGGCCGAGGCGGCGAAATTTAAATATTTTCATTCAAGAGTGAAGACCTCGCGATGCGTCTTCACTCGGAAGGTAACTAGAGGAGGAGGGGAGGGGGTTAGCAACGAGGTACAGAGGTGATCGAAGAAAATGGAAAAGCAAGGCGGACCGGCGAAAAGGGAAAGAGAAGAAGAAAGGGGGAGAGAGGAAAGAGTGAGAGCGGAAAAGAGATAGGGTAAACCGGGAGAGGGACCGGGAGAAATAAGGAAACGCGGGTAGGAGGAGCGCGGGTAGGCAGGCGCGAATGTAATTAAATTCCACTTTGAAGTGAAACTCACTTTCAGCAGTTAATAAGATTTTGATTCGCAGTCGGTGACGTAACGCAGCGCGCCCATCGTCTTTGGCAGGTAGGCGCTGCTGCTGCTGCTGCTGCTGCTCGCTCGCGACGACGACGAAGGAAGCACGGGACGCCGAGAAGGAGAAGTAACGGAAGTAGTATGCAAGAGAAGGAGCTTTACAATGTGCGAAGTCGCTGTGCTCCTTCGCTTCGAGCAAAGACCAAGCCCACCTCTCTCGCCCGGCCTCTCCCGCCCTACGGACTTCCAGCGTTGCGCGCGTCAGAGCTCCGGTTCTTTGTCGAAAGCCAGGACGATGTTGCGCCAGCTTTCCGAGCTCTTTAATTAAAATTACGCGAACGCGCGCACCACGACGACAGTTCCCAACCGGTAGTCGGTTTATCACGTAGAATGCATTCGCGATTGCTCGCCGAGAATCTCAGGTATGTCGCCCCGACAATTGCAATACCTTTGACGAAATGAAGCGCGCAAGATCTGAACGCGATGATCTCGAGCTTAATCTCTCTGCTCTTCGCCAAGCTGACCTTCCGCATTAGGCAGGGCGTCGATCGAGGCACAACGTTAACCACATCTCGGTCGCATCCATTTCTCCGAATCTCCCGAGACGAGTTCTAATTCTGCGAGTTCCTATTCTCAGCCAGCGCTTAGAGCGCGAAATCTTCCAGAGATAATTCCACCGCAATCCCAACCGCGACATTCGTCCTTGGACACTGCTAGTATCAGAACGAAGTTACTCAGCGGGGATAGATGTGCTTGCCGTGGGGAAGGGCCTGATCGCTTATTCCAAGCAACTCCGCGGCATATCCCACGCCCCGATCTCGTCCCGGTTGAAACTTTCCCAACACGCTTCATCACCGCTCGCCGAGCCTCGGTCGAGTTTCATAACTAGCTAATCCGACCCGTAATAGAGAGATCAAGCAGAGCTCCAACGAGCAGCCGTGTACACACACACATGTGTGTGTGTGTGTGTGTGTGTGTGTGTATGTATATAAATAAAACACACGTACATACACATAACATATATATCTACTCTATACTGGTCTACGTGGCACCAAAATTACAGCGGAGAGGATACCGTTTCGGTAACTCTTATTCTGGCATCATCCGTCAGTAAAGCACGGGGATCAGTTATACGTAGGGAACGCAAACGCACGCGACCGGAATATCCTGTTGGCTATATATTTAACTCGCGCAACTTCCGTCAGCCGGTGACCTTCCAACGAGTAACGACGATCGAAAGTTATCAGCGATATCTACAGTCACTCTTTGCTTTCCATTCGCTCTTTCGATTCTTTCAACTAAACTTTTCTTATCGGATAATGTTACCTATCTCGAAAGGTGATGGAAGATTTGTCGGTAACGAGAAGTCTAAAAAAAGAAGATCTTTCAGTTCTTAGGGAGACACGATCGTCATCGTCCTCCCCCCCGTTGTTGTCGTCGTCTTCGCCGTTGCTGTCATCGTCGTCGAAACGACGCACTGCGTTATCCCTCCTCCGCAGCTTTTCTTCCTCAAGCCTCACACCATCATCCCCCAGTCATCTCCCAGGGGGGAAGAGGGGAACGACGATGGAGCTCTTCGTCCAATTATTTTTCCCTCGCTTCGAAACATTTCAACGCCACTTCAACGAACGAACTCGTTCTATTCTCGTTGCCGCGCAACCCTCTCCGCCACCCCCTACGGAAGAACGGAACCGCGTCACTTCTTCGCTCCGGTTCGCTCCGATTCTCTGTCGGAGTTACGTCCCCTTCTAACTGTGCGTACGCGATCCCACCCCTTAACGCGAAGTCGGCATTATTTCAATTGCGCGAACAGCAATAATTCACCGCGCTAAGAAGATTATAAAATGTTTATGAATAATGGAACAAAGTGTATATATATAGGGCGAGATCCTTCTATCACGAAACACAGAAAGGTAACACCACGCTATACTACGGTAAAACGAAGGCACCTTCTGCGGTAGCAACCGAACCACGTGTAGCTTGTGTGCGTCACGATTGCGCAACCGTGTGCCGTAAGCGCGATACGATTATTCAAACCGGGGAAACAATTCCGTGCATTAAGTCGTAATAACATTGCGCGCCGGTACTCCCGATCCTCTTTTGTCGCCAGGACTCGCAAAACGCGGTATTTGGTACTCACAGCCCCGGCCGCCGCCGCCGCGCTAACTATCGGGTGGCATTATGTAACATTTAACCACCCCCATCCCCCAACCCCCCCTCTCCACTCCCTGGGCACGAGAGAAGAACAATAGATCATGAGTTCGCGAGTTACCGCGCGAACAATGCAATTACGAGAAACATTATATCGTTCGCTTCAAGATCTCACTTTAAAGGATGCGGCGGATGCTAATTTACTCCGGTTTTAACATTCGAAATGCCAACATAACGTCTATCGCTTTATGCAGACTTCAAGCATCTGATGTGTCGCTATAAACGTATTACGATTAGTAATCTCGTAAGAATGAAAATGCAAGTTTTACTTGAGAGAACCAACTGAAAGCAAATGATATTTCTGCAATATTCGCGAGTGTCGCTGAGTGTTCTATGCCAATATGTGTATTCTTGCAGTCGATCGAATTAATAATATATGCGTTTCATGGACTACAAACGAATGTTTGGGGATTAAACACGAGCGACGTGCAATCGGCTGTTTTCTCAGTACGTTTGCGTTCAGTACGATTTATCGTCACGGTAATATAGCTAGCGCCCTTTAAATCGTCGCTCCAGTTCGCCGATTATAGCACCACCGTGGATGGGTGGTGGGCACACTCGCATTTATTCGCGCGAAATCATTTCCGATCATTTTCGATGGAGCTTTCGTTTTTGACTGGCGCGACGTAAAGAGATTGCGACGGCCGCGCGTTAACGATATTGCTGAACGGGAAATATGACGAATCAATAATTTCCTCAGTCTAGCATTTTATGATGGGGCATTAAACGGGCGATGGTTATCGACGATTAATCGTTCGGCTGTCACTTGCACCGGCGCTTGCGTCCACGCGCGGTATGTATCGTGCCTTAATACGCGCGCGACAATTTCCATTCTTTATCTTCGACACGCACGTGGAACGTATATGCCCCTCCATTATTGCACAAGCAGCGGGATATATTACTGTCGCGGAGGATTATAGGAAAAATATTCTGCGCTTTACGGGCACACTCTCTCATTATCGCGAGGCTATAAACTTGTCCGTCCTCATTATCCTGCAGGACCGTGCAGTTATCAAGCTGTAATTCCATTAATGATTCTACTTATTACGACGCGATGAAAATTGTAGAATATAAACGTGGCGCTTCCGCGCCACG